GATGGATCATCTCCAATATAAAAGTCAATAGATTTTTGTCTAAATGGCTTTATAGTTTACAACTTTAAGTGCTTTATATCGACCATAATCACCACAATCTTACTAATTTTTATAATCTAATCTATAACATTTTTAAATTGGGTAATTAACAAATAAATGGCATTAAGTTTTTCTAAGTTAAGCCAAAATTTGTAGTCAGTAAGTAAGTTTCATTAAATTAAATATTTCAAACACACATGACAATAGCGCGTCGGCCTTTCATCACTCTTATCGAACCGGCAATCGATCGCAAACGGTAACAGTGGTTAGTTATCGGACATCGGGCCTGTTGTTTTGTTTTTGTTCGCGTACGTCGTCGTGTTTATTTACAATGTTCTCGAATCAAGCGTTCGCCGACATGTTAGTTTACGGTGAAGCTCGTCAGAATTCAAATCTTGCATCTCAAATTTATCGCGACAGAGTTCGCCAACGGGTACACCCAGAAAGAAGGACATTGGTGCAAGTGTACCAAAGACTTCGAGATACAGGAAGTGGTCAGCCCACTAATATTCGCACTCGTGAGAGACAGGTTACTGTAGAGCAGGAGGAACGATCAGGTATATACGTAGACCTTTCGAGTTACCTCCAAAGTTGTCAGGAGAAGGATACCTTACCTTTCTACCCAATAACCAACCAGAACTTTTGGAACAGACCTTAGACAACATGCCATTACAACGGAGACAGAATTTGTGGTTTCTTCATAACGGGGCACCACCACACATTTTTAGAGGGGTCATTCAGTATTTGAATGAACATTATCCAAATCGCTGGATCGGTCGAAATGCTCCTGATCCTCGAAAATGGCCAGCAAGATCTCCTGACCTCAATCCAATGGATTTCTGGTATTGCGGAGAACTTAAAGGGATGGTTTATGGGGCTGGTACAATAACAACTGAAGCAAAACTTCTCGAAAAAAAATTTAATGCGGCTGAAATAATAAATGGATAACTTCGAGGACCTAGAGTAAGAAGAAACTGGGTTCGTCGTAATGAAGCTTGTGCGGAAAGTGGAGGACGGCATTTTGAACACCTTCTTCAAATTCAAAAAAGTGCAGTGTGGGTTTTAAAAAGAAAAACAATGTATGTATCAAAATTGTGTTCCCTATTTATAAGTGGATTTTTTAATATGTTCAATAAACTTTCACACACCAGGTGAAGCGCCGAGACAGTTAGTGGTAAGTCTCGTTTTTTTTAATTGTTTGCATTTTCAAATAATGAAATAATACCTAAGAGCCAAAAATAACAAACTCCATCTTTATTTACACTGCGATCCGTCGTAATTTGCATCTGGCATTGCGGCGTTGCCAGATTTTATTTTACTTTAAACTCGCTTTACTCTAAAAAAATGCCGTTTTGGCCCCCATGTGATATATTTTGCTCCTTTTAACCCCCTCTATCACACATCTATCATAACGTTTACACCCTGTATATTTGCCAATAACCACTATTCACTTTTTGGTCTTCGGCAATTTTGATGAATAATAGATGTTTTCAAATTTGCTACTACTTCGAAGTTGAGTCATTTATTTTAACAGTGAGTAGATCTGATCAAAATAAATGTTTTTTCCTTTAACATTTTTCTGGTAAAATTAAATTAACAAAGTTATAGCCCTTTAGAAGTTTGAGTACCGCCCTGTCTCAATAATAATATTATGTGCTCGTGTTTGGCAACAACGGATATAATCCGCCTTATCGGTTCATCGCATCGGAAACAAAAAAGCGAAAGAATTTGAAACGTTTATCACGATGTCAGTCAATGTTTCAGTCGGTAACGCGTGAGTGAATAGTGGTGTTTGTTGCGTGGCTCAAACGAAATAAAAAATGGCACATGTTTACGAAAATGCTGAACTTGTGAACTTGTGGACATGATTCTTATTTAATCGAGTGCAACCAACCCCTCGTGCCTTTGTTAATGTAGTACAAAGGGCTCGTGAATCAGGTGACTTAAGACCTCACAGAGGAGAGCATGCCGGTGCTCCAAGACCGCACGAACAAATACAGGTCCGCACTGAAATACTTGTCGGGAGGATACTTTATAAAACAAGGTAACCTTTTTTTTTAATTTTTTTTTAATTTTTACACACATATTTTGGTTTATCTTCCTTCTACAATCATTATCTGAAAATTAATGACTCAACTTCAAAGTCACCCTGGATAAACAAAGGGGGGGGTCAAAATTCGGGGTTCCGCAGGGGTGTAAAAAACCTAAACAACCGTAAAAAACGACTAAATGTCACTTTTCAAGATTCGTAATATCCATGCCAGACTTGCTTTGGGAAAACGGCTATTTAAGGTGTAATAGAATAGGTTACATTGACGCCGATAGTGCAAAAAACGTTTCGGTCTTCGGTCATTTTGACTAATAATAGATGCTTTCAAATTTGCTACATAAACAAGGGGGGATCAAAAACAGGGGTTTAGAACTTGACTAAGTTTCAAGAATATACAAGAGTCTATTGAAACGTCAAAAAACGAAACTCTAGGCGATTTTTATTTTGCCGTCTTCTTTTTTGCACGTGCAATGCCGCAAATACATCAATTTTCAAAAAGTACTAAACTTTTTCGTTATTGGCGTAGTAGTTAGTAACTTTGTATCAAAATTTCTTCAAAATCCGAGCGGTACTTTCCAAGAGCCAAGCCATCAGTGGCATGTTTTTTCGTGGCTGATATCGTCCCTTAAGTTCTGACACCGCGTAAATAAAAAAACAAGATATGAATGTACCTGAAAAAGGCGCCCGATAAATTGTGCCATTTTTGAATAAAAGCAAACTAAAAAATTTATGTGTGATTGGAAATGTACTGCGAATTTAAATGAATTGTTGATTATACATAGTTAGCCATGACTGCAAACAAAAGTTGTTTTGATTTGTTATGACTTATTTTGACGTTAAGCTGACATTGTTAGCAGTGTAAAATTACTAGATTGAAATCAAAATTTTTATTAAATCGATTTAAAATGCCAAGATTTACAGACAGAGAACTGACTGACATGCATTTTGTGTACGGGTTTTGCAATGGCAGATCATTGGCAGCCGTAAGAGAATATCAAAGAAGCTTTCCCAATCGCATAGTACCTGGACGTCGAATGTTTACTGATTTGTCAAACCATAGAAGTTTTCAGCGCATAAGAAGAAAAAGGTTTTCCACTTTTCGGGCTACGCAATCATTAGTTCGTCGAGCGAGACTCTGAATCCAACAAAATGGGAATTTATTTGAACACTTATTATAAAGCTAGTTTTAAGTATATCCAACTGTATGGCTTCTTTTTTAAACAAATTTCAATTTCGTTCGTAGAAAAAATTTATTTCTTTTGTTTTTGCCTAAATGTTAGCTATGTTGCAATAGAAATATGTATTTATGTAATATTTACCAATTATTAAATTAGTTTTTTCGTTGCCATCGATAATTATTCAACAATTCATTTAAATTCGCAGTACATTTCCTATCATGTGACAATTTTTTTAGTTTGATTTTAATCAAAAATGGCACAATTTATCCATATTCAATAAAAGTACCTTTTTTATGTAGAAAATCCTAAATTTTCAAATTCTAAAACTGAATTTCAAAAATAGAATCACACAACAATTTTGGGGCTAAAATAACCTGACTCCGTCCCTATTACATACGCTTCCAAACAAAACTGTCTAAAATTGTTAATATTTTTAAATCCAGCATAAAAAACTAGGCTAGAATACTAAATTTTATGTCTTTATCCCAACACCTTTCGGAAATATTAAGGAAAAACCATCTTTAAGGGAGCCTCTTTAAAAGACCGTAGCGCACTTAGGGGACGTTTGTCGACCTATGTTTATATAAACTTTTCATCCTATTTTAAGCTCTAGAAACCGCTGGTAGAATATTGCACACTTTTTTCGGGACACCCTGTACATGTTAGTTTGCAAATCCCGTCTGTATCTTGGAAAGCACTCGAATGTTGATGAAATTTTCACATAAGATCAGTATGTCAAGAACGTAAAATTGGTGTAGCTTTTGAAAATCAGTCCAGTGGCATCGGAGATAGGAGCTTCATTTTCGGGAAAAATTTTGTAGGGGTCAAAAATTCGGGGTTGGTGGTTGTAGAGAGTGGGCGTTAGTATAATTAATACGATTCCAATCCCGGTAACTCACGCACAATCGCGATTTGTCCGATAAGTGGCGAGTGGTGAGGTTAGGCACAGCAACGTTGTCAGATGGTTGGTACTGTCGGTAGCCCAAGAGAGAAATTTCTAGATCGTAACGATGTCAAATGGATGGGGATTATCCATATAATTTCATTGTTATACATATTCATAGCTAGAGGGGCACACTTGTGCCGCAAATAAACATTCATGAACTGATAACAGCGTTGCGTGAGAAATGCAGAGTAAACCTACTTGACGCCTTTTTTAATTCACTCAACAAATGGCATAAGTTGTACAAGCCTCATACATGCATATAACTTTATTTGTTTATCAGGTCACATTCGCCTATCCCCGACGTAAAAGCATCCACTTTAAAAATTATCCGAATAAAAATTTCCTTTTATCGCACAGGCATTGTCACGCAAAAAGAGATTAGAGTCACGCATGCTAATTAAATTGCAAAACAGCTTCAACTCATTTTCATTCCGCGAAAACTTCATAACTCGTATTTCTTCAACACTCGTAATATTCATGAAATGCTGCGCAAATTTTCTCAATTTTTAAGAACCACCCCCCAAGTTAGGGAGCGAAATCACAGCTTAAGCTTGTAAAGGAAACAATAAAAATCGTTTTCTTTGTTGAAGTAGGTTGAAAGTATGTGGTGACGTGACGAATATTAGCAGAATTAACATCCTTAGCGTATAGGGTAGTTTTGCCGTTGTTTTACTTCTCACACCACTGACGAGTACCTTTATTGCGAAAAATTGCAGCACAAGCCAGCATCACAAATGCTGATCTTCTATGTCGAAATTTGCATGCAATGACGTTAATTTGAAATTACCTGAACTTGAAAAATGGTGACGTTGTCGTCAAGCATGTGTACCCGAACGGCAAGCATCTTTCCAGGTTTCCGGGAAGATGGAGAGACCGTTCCGGATGGCCTGGCGTCCCCCACCGCCGGCGTTGACAGCGAATGATGCATTCCTGGAACAAGAAATATTCATGGGTGATACCTTCAAAATGTATCTTCATTTTGATCTGTTTATGAAATTCATATGCATAAAAAAATTGTAACCCCGCCACTGGTATACGTGCTACTGTTAGAGGCATATTCAATCCTACCCACGATACTGTTCCTTTGTTCTTTGAAGCTGTTTGATGTCCCATCGGCCATCTGGCCGCGTTCAAGTGAAACAAACTAGATTGGTAAGGTAGCTAAAATTGCTTTCCAGTTGCTCCACGCCGTCTCATAGGCACCTACCACAGTACCGCCGTGCGAGGACAGTAACCTGTATACAATTTTTCGGATAAGAGCATCCGTAACAACGGTTAGTAAACCACAACTTGAAAGAAAAATAAACTTTCACTTGAACGCCGCCAGATGGGGCATCAAGCAGCTTGAAAGAACAAAGGAACAGTGACGTTTGTCAGATGAATTAGCCTCTAACATTCGATCCTGAAAATTAGTTGATGCTGTAGATTTGTTAGGTCGGTTCCACGCAATGGAGGAGATGCGGGTTCGAATCCCGCCAACGCCTATTGTTAATTTCTCTCAAATTTTTGTTTACTAAACGTACTACTGGTTGGCGAGATCTTCACAGGATCCCTGCGGCATAGCGGTATTGGTGACTCAGAACACTTTTATAATTTCGCAATATTACGCTTACCTGGATTAGAATTGGCGGTGCTGCTGCCTGCTGAGGAAGAAAGCGCGCCGGTGCTGCCGCGCTGCGAGTTGTTGCAGTCCATGGGCGGTACTGCAACTTGGAGGGGAGGGACGGGGGTGCGGGGGGAGTGGTCGGGCGGGCGGTGCCGGCGGCAGGGAGGTGTTACCGGGAATAAAGGGACGACGGCCTGGGGTGATGGTTATGCTGCTGAAACAAGAGAAAAAAGGTCAGTCAAAGAACGAAAGCTAAGTATGAATATAAATGATCATCTATACAGCTAAGGGCCGTATCGTCAGTCGTTCCTACAATTGTAGGACGCCTTTACGGCCTCCTTGATTTTCACAGTTTTCTATTGTTACGTGTCAGCGCACTATTTTGAGGTTATGTAACAAATATCTATTTGGATCAGATTGTTCATGTTTTTTATTTATATTATCTGTTATATCAGCCTGAAATTTCCTACAATTCAAAAGAAAACATAGCCTCACAATACGAGAGCACAGACGCTGACTTGGAACAGTAGAAATCTAGAAACTCCCCAGCCTTTCTGATGAAGTGAAAAGACGCTAAGGTCCTAAGTCATTATGCAGGTTAGTGGGTGGATTGAATGTTATGAGATGTTGTCTAATTTTAATAACCATGTTCGAAAGCAGCGTCCCAGATTTTCCTAGTGCATCTAGCTGTTAAAAAATCAAAACTCTTGTTATATGCAATTTGCATTAACCACGAATCTGATCTTTTCAGCTTAGATCGACGGAAAGCCCCAGAAATCACAATGTTCTACTCCAAATACGACTTAACATCTTAGCATTTTTTGAAGGTCATAGTAAAAATTAGCATCTCAAATTACCCCAGTGGACCAAGATTAGTTCTCCAGCAACCGGCAAACGAAAATATAAATCTTACTTTGAAAAACTTCCAAGTTTAAAGGCATCAAAATCCACAGCAACTCCGCTTCAACCTTATCTCAACTTAAGTAGCGTTGCGTTTGTGATCTCACCTTCGTTTTGAAGTAACCAATATTTTGGGATATACCCTGGACTATAAGGAAATTTGGTTGCAATTCTTTGCCAGATGAAAAAATGAAGAATCGTTGCAAGCAAGATTTTGAGATATACCCTGAACTATACGGAAACGTGGTTGTAATCCTTTGCTAGATGAAAGAGTGGGGAATTGCTGGAGACAATGCAATATTTTGGGATATACCCTGGACTATAAGAAAATGTGGTTGCAATTCTTTGCTAGACGAAAGAGTTAAGAATCGTTGGAAACGTAGCAAGATTTTGAGATATACCCTGAACCATAAGGAAACGTGGTTGCAATCCTTTGCTAGATGAAAGAGTGGGGAATTGCTGGAGACAATGCAATATTTTGGGATATACCCTGGACTATAAGGAAATGTGGTTGCAATTCTTTGTTAGTCGAAAGAGTGAAGAATCGTTGCCAACAAAGCAATATTTGGGATATACCCTGGACTATAAGGCAATCGTTTGCTAGATGAAAGAGTGGGGAACTGCTAGAGACAATGCAATATTTTGGGATATACCCTGGACTATAAGGCAATCGTTTGCTAGATGAAAGAGTGGGGAACTGCTAGAGACAATGCAATATTTTGGGATATACCCTGGACTATAAGAATACGTGGTTGCAATCCTTTGCTAGATCGGAACGTGACGAATCTGTGACAAAAAAGTAATATTTTGGGATATACTCTGGACTATAAGCAATATTTTTGGGTATACCCTGGGATATATCTTCCAATCCTAAACACATTTTATGACATTTCGCACACCTGGTGACCATTGCCAGTTATATGGGATTTTCACGATTATTCTTTCAGTCGAGACGAGCTTTTAAGTTGTTTCCTTCGCAACGGTCGATAGAATATCAACTCATCACCTCATCCACGTTTATCTCGTTACTACCAATATGAGCCTAATCAGCTAATGGTTAACCTTGTATTTGAACAAGGCTTTCAGGTATCTTATAGTATTTTCTACAAAAATCATAATATAAAAAAATTGTTTGTGAAAATTGTTTATTGTTGTTTAACCAAACGCATTGGATTTGGATTGTTTATAAATATAAGATTTGTTTACGAGCGAACGAGTGCTAAATATACAAGGTGATTCAAGAAAATAGTGACAATAAAAAAGCTTCAGAAGAATTATTCTACCTCAAGAAATCTGTATCTGTAACATAACAGTCTTTTCCAATATTCCAATTCTCAGGTTCTGCCCCAGAATGGTGATGTAGAAACCTATCAGCTATGTTTAGATAGGCCTTTCATGTACTTTTCAACGTACTTTTTGTGTTGCAAAAATTTTTAAACACTCTGTATATAAAAGGTATAGTCCGGAAGAAGCAAAAGAAGTTCCAATTCGTTTGACTCCAGTTTCCCTGGGATATCTGTATTAGCTTCATTATTTATTTAACCGCTCATTTATATTTTATAGCTAGTTATCGCTGCATGGAAATTACTTATATTTGACAAGTAACGACGTAATTTTCATGTGTTGCACATCCTGTCTGGATGCAATTTGTCAATGATTGTAGACTCTCATCATCAACAATTGTCATAATTATTCCATAACCGTAGGTATCGTAATTACTATTTTACAAAAATCATAATATAAAAAAATTGTTTGTGAAAATTGTTTATTGTTGTTTAACCAAACGCATTGGATTTGGATTGTTTATAAATATAAGATTTGTTTACGCGCGAATGAGTGGTAAATATACAAGGTGATTCAAGAAAATAGTGACAATAAAAAAGCTTCAGAAGAATTATTCTACCTCAACAAATCTGTATCTGTAACATAACAGTCTTTTCCAATATTCCAATTCTCAGGTTCTGCCCCAGAATGGTGATGTAGAAACCCATCACCTATGTTTAGATAGGCCTTTCATGTACTTTTCAACGTACTTTTTGTCTTGCAAAAATGTTTAAACACTCTGTATATAAAAGGTATAGTCCGGAAGAAGCAAAAAAAGTTCCAATTCGTTTGACTCCAGCTTCCCTGGGATATCTTCATTATTTATTTAACCGCTCATTTATATTTTATAGCTGGTTATCGCTGCATGGAAATTACTTATGTTTGACAAGTAACGACGTAATTTTCATGTGTTGCACATACTGTCTGGATACAATTTGTCAATGATTGTAGACTCTCATCATCAACAATTCTCATAATTATTCCATAACCGTAGGTATCGTAATTACTATTTTCAAATAAACATCATCTAATCACTGCACCTGATGGTTTTGCTACCTACGTATACATGAGTAATCGAAAAATATAGTCGAAATCACGAAAGATGGCCATTACGTCATCATTTTAGTCTGTAGTAAAGACAAACGACAGCGATTTGTGAATATTTTTAATGAAGTTTCGGATATGCTAGACAGAGATAAACAGAATTTTATTGTCTAAACAAACTGTATTGCTAATATGCATGTATCCGACAAAGATAGACGATGTTTTCATGTTGCATGATCGATCATATTTGAAAGATGATTAGTTAGGTTATGTTACAGCAGGTTAGGTTGTTTTTGAATAATACTTTGGTCTATGGTGTTTCTGTCTTAAGGTATTCTAATCATAACTGTTTTTTTTTCAAAACTCCGCACTAAGATTATTATTACTCAAAACCATGAAATAAAATGAAAATAAAAATAATATGTGAAATAACCTAACTTCGCAAAATCATAATATAAATTTGTTGTCATCATTCCTGACATCGTGATTTTATCATCGACGTACGTCCATTGATTACTTCATTACAATTTATGGTGTGACGTAAAGGTCATCTTTCGTGATTCTGACTATATGTCTATACTTATTTTTAAGCTTCGTAATACCGCTAATTTGTTCAGTTGCATTAAAACCGATCCCAAAATAAAGTATTTCTCATTTTTATTAGCTACCTTTAAATGAATTAGGTTACTAATCAACTTAACAAGATCTAATTAGGGGAATTGGGGTCACTCAAATAGTAAAGCAATTTACTTTATTTCTATGTGATATCAATCAACCATCCTTGAACCAAGTATGGCGGCAGCTTTGGATGAGGAACTTTAGCTTTTAGTACCTTTATACACAAAATACGCTTCTAATATGTACGGCCTAAATATGTATCGATATACGAGGGGGTACTAAAAAAACGGAATTATTTTTTAAAAGCTATTTATTTTCAACTTTTTCACAAAGTAACCTTATCTCCTTCAAAATACTATCCACTACAACTAATACACTTGTTCCACCGGTACTTCCACTGCTCGAAACATTTTTTGAAGTCTTCCTTGGAAATATCTGACAGCTCCTCCCTCGTTTTTTTTCTTGACAGCGGAACCCTGCCATTTTTAGCCAGAAACTGTCGAACAGAGATGGCTGTGTGCGCAGCTGCATTATCGTGGTGGATGAACCAGTCTCCTGACTGCCCCAAATCGGGTCTATTTTGCCGAACATTGCTTCGCAATCGTCTTAAAACCTCCAAATAAAAGGTCTGATTGACAGTGTGACCTGTGGAAACAAGTTTGGAATAGACTACGCCTTTGACATCAAAAAAACAAATTAGCTTTGCTTTGATGTTTGATTTGAGTTGACGACATTTTTTTGGACGGGGTGACGATGGCGTCTTCGATTGACTTGACTGTTGTTTCGTTTCTGGGTCATAACCGTGGCATCCAGTCTTATCACCAGTGATGATCTTTGACAGAAAATTTGGATCAGATTCAAGCTGATGTTTCAAAGCACGACATGTTTCAACTCGGTGCTCTTTTTGATTGTCAGTCAGAGCCCGAGGAACAAACTTGGCAGCAACCCTTTTCATTCACAGATCTTCTGTTAAAATTCGCTGAACCGAACACCAGGACAACCCACTACTTACGGATAGTTGATCGATTGTCATTCGACGGTCTACAAGCACAAGCTCTCGAATTTTCGTCAATTCGGGCAGTAGATGGACGTACAGGGCGAGGTTTGTTATCAATCGACATGTCGCCTTTTTTAAGTCGAGCAAACCACTCTTACACCTGAGTTTTTCCCATAGCATCATCTTTGTAAGCTATTTTCAACATTAAAACAGTTTCAGCAGCATTTTTACTAATTAGAAAGCAAAATTTCACAGCTGCACGTTGCTCACTGAAACTTGTCATCGTATAAAACGAAACAGCTCTAGCAAAAAGAATCACTACAGAGGAACGT